TAGTTTTTCTTTTTTTTTTTTTTTTTTAATGTCAGCATTTTGAAATAAGTTCTGATCTTCTATTTAGCATTTTCTATTGGTCTGGTAAGGTGATTATTGCTACTTTATCCTCCAGACAATGTTTATAGGTTTACTGTAGGCTGGTGTTTTTCTTACTATAATGCTATTTTTGTTGTATTTGAGCTTCTGTTTGTAAATTCCCATATATTTTTATTGAGTGTTGTACTATTTGTGCATTTTATTATTGTTAAACGCCTTTTGTGTGCCTTCTTTCCAGAGTGCTTCATTTACATCTATGTATATTTTTTTCGTTTTGTTTTTATGGTGACTTTCTGTATTATATTTCTTTGCAGGCAATCGCTGTTTAAGGGACATTCATGTTTTCCTATATAATTACAGGTGGGTTTCGTTAGTATAGCGATTTATTGTTTTTTTCTTCCTGTTGTGTTGCATCATGTTCGCGGCACAACTATAGTTGATTTTTAATGTGTTTCTGTTGAATATTTTATGGGGAGTGGAGGAGTGTTTGTGGATGATTTTAATGAATATTTTTCTCCGCCTGTTTGTATTTTTTTGTTGTAAGCTATTTTAAATCATACCATATTTCTTTTTCTGTTGGCTTTTTGTGCTGTGTGTAGTGTATGTGAGATCCAGAATCGTTTCATAATTATTTTTTGGCTTCATTAAAGATGGCTTCATTAGAAGAATTATCAGATAGCATACGATTAATTCGTTGTGAGAATTGCTTGATTATTGTTGGTGTCTCGGTAGAAGATGCGCGTATCTAAAGTGGGTTGTCGTTAGATTTTCTATATGGCTTATATGTATTTTTCTGAGATTGAATGTGAGGAAATCTTCTTCTTTCACATTTGTTTTTGTCGCATCCTAATTTTTTGAAGATTTCTGTGATTGTCTTTTTGTTTTGTCTGTTTTGTCTGTTAAAGTTTCTTAGGATTGTGAAACTGTTGTCCTTGTACATGCCTATATCATTTTTGTTGATTATTTTACTTAGTTCATGTTGTATGCATATGCTTATTAGTTCACAGGTTTTTGGCTCCGTCAAAACTTCCCATTGTAACGTTGAATGTTACTATTTACCTTTCTTTTGCTATGAACTTATTTCTTTATTAATAGTGATTATCGCCAGTACTTGATGGCATTTAGCTGATTTGTGCTTATCTTAATGTATTTCTGAGCTGATTTTTTTTATATTTAGTTGTATAAATTCACAATTATGTTTTTCTTTCGATTTTTTTTTCTTAGATTACGGAACCAGTCTATAGTTGTCTTCGTGTTTTTCCTGGTTTACTCTTAACTTCATTCTGAATTAATTATTTTTTGTAGCATTATTTAATCTATTTTACCTAGTTCACTTTTAGTTGCGTTTATGAGTCTGCATGTTGCGTTTTTTTGCAGGCAATTAGCCTATTGAATAGCCATGATTGAGCTATGGTTTATTTGATCATCTCAGTCTAATGTTTGGGCGATGTTTTAGCTTTTAGGTTAATATCATATTCTGTGGTTTTGAGTGTTTTACTTTTGTCGTTATTGAATGACTTCTATTTGAGGCTTTTCAATTCATATAGATTTTTAGTTTTGTTTGCAAAGATAAATAAGTTAGGTGAATTGATTATCTTGGTTATATTTAGCCATCATTGCTTGAGGACTGCGTTCGAAACTGACTCTCGCCACTCGGTGCTGAAATCTCTCCACACTTCTTAGATAGATAGATAGATAGATAGAACATACATTTAAGCATCGCATCTGAGATGGTGAGAGTCAGCTAGAGATAAGAAATAAAATAGACAGAGAGATGAAGAGAGAGGGAGAGAGAGAGAGAGAGAGAGAGAGAAAGAGAGATAGAGAAAATAATTTGTGTTTGCTATATAAAAAGACGGTCATAGATAGGTAGATAATCTTTTGAGCATCGCATCTGAGAGAGAGAGAGTCAACGAGAGATTAGAAAGAAAAATACAGTTAAACAGAGAGTGAAAGAGAAGAATAGTGTGTATATGAGATGAAAAGTCTGAGAAAGATAGATAGAAAGATAGATAGATAGATAAACATATTCAAATAGATAGATAGATAATAGAGGGACTTAGAGATAGATAGATAGATAGATAGATAGATAGATAGATAGATAGATAGATAGATAGATAGATATTTTATTTGCACTGCATCTGTGACAATGAGAGCCAGTTTAGAAATAGAAAAATACAGGCTTTTCCTCTAGAGAGAGAGAGAGAGAGAGAGAGATAGATAGAGAGAGAGAGAGAAAAATATATGTTTATATTAAGGATAGATAGATAGATAGATAGATATTTTTGAGCACTGCATCTGAATACAGTGAGAGCAGCGAGATTTAGAAAAAAAACAGGCAGTAAAGAGAGAGAGAGATGAGAGAGAGATAGAGAGAGAGAGAGAGATATGAGAGAGAGATAAATATATGTTTATATTAAGGATAGATAGATAAATAGATAGATATTTTTGAGCACTGCATCTGTGACATGAGAGCAAATAGATGAGAAAATAATAAAGAGAGAGAGAGAGAGAGAGAGAGAGAGAGAGAGAGATATGATTATATTAAGGATAGATAGATAGATAGATAGATAGATAGATAGATATTTTTGAGCACTGCATCTGTGACAGTGAGAGCCAGCAAGAGACGAGAAAAATACAGGCTCTTAAAGAGAGAGAGAGAGAGAGAGAGAGAGAGAGAGAGAGAGAGAGAGAGAAATATATGTTTATATTAAGGATAGATAGATAAATAGATAGATATTTTTGAGCACTGCATCTGTGACAGTGAGAGCCAGCGAGAGATGAGAAAAAATACAGGCTCTTAAAGAGAGAGAGAGAGAGAGAGAGAGAGAGAGAGAGAGAGAGAGAGAGAGAGAGAGAGAGATAAATATATGTTTATATTAAGGATAGATAGATAAATAGATAGATATTTTTGAGCACTGCATCTGTAACAGTGAGAGCCAAAAGAGAGATGAGAAAAAAACAGGCTCTTCTTAAAGAGAGAGAGAGAGAGAGAGAGAGAGAGAGAGATATGTTTATATTAAGGATAGATAGATAGATAGATAGATATTTTTGAGCACTGCATCTGTGACAGTGAGAGCCAGCGAGAGATGAGAAAAATACAGGCTCTTAAAGAGAGAGAGAGAGAGAGAGAGAGAGAGAGAAAGAAATATATGTTTATATTAAGGATAGATAGATAATCTTTTTGAGCATCGCATCTGAGAGAGAGTCAACGAGAGATGAGAAAAATACAGGCTCTTAAAGATAGATAGATAGATAGATAGATAGAGAGAGAGAGAGAGAGAGAGAGAGAGAGAAATATATGATAAATAGATTGATTGATTTTTCAGCACCATATCTGATGCATAGAGATAAGGATAACAAGGAGAAAGAGAGAAAAGTCAAAGTGATTAAGAGAGATGAGAAAGAAAAGGAGAGAAAAATCAAAGAGAGAGAGACAGACAAAGAGAATATTTCTGTCAACATCAATGATCTTTCTAGCTTATATTTTTGTTCTGAGTGTACAACATTGCTTGAAGTGCAGAGATACCTTCTACATGTGTAGATGCTATCGATTTTACTGATAGGGGCTGGTTTAATTTGGGCAGGGTTATAAGAGGAATAGGGTGTGGTTCGGTAGACTTGGATACTGTTTAGAAGCACTCTCATATCGACCACACCCGGACATGTGAAATATTTTGGAAGCCACCATGAGTCAGAATTTTGTCGCTTTTATATTTTAAATTCATGTCACGAATCTTGAAAGAAAAATGTAGTAGGAAAAGAAAGAAAGAAAGAAAGAAAGAAAGAAAGAAAGAAAGAAAGAAAGAAAGAAAGGGAAAAAGGAAAAAAGAAAGAAGGAAAGAAAAAGAAAGAAACGAAAAAAGAAAAGATAGAAGTGCAAAGCTTAACTGGACTACAGAAAGAAGGAAAGAAAGAAAGAAAGAAAGAAAGAAAGAAAGAAAGAAAGAAAGAAAGAAAAGAAAGGGAAAAAAGGAAAAAAGAAAGAAGGAAAGAAAAAAGAAAGAAAGAACGAAAGAAAGAAAGAAAGGGAAAAAGAAAGAAGGAAAGAAAAAAAAAAAGAACGAACGAAAGGAAAATATAGAAATGCAAATCCGTAACTGACTAAAAAAGAAAAAAAAGAAAGAAAGAAAGAAAGAAAGAAAAGAAAGGAAAAGGAAAAAAAGAAAGAAAAAAAAAAAGAAAGAAAAAGAAAGAAAGAAAGGGAAAAAAAAAAGGAAAGAAAAAAAAGAACGAAAAAAAGGGAAAATATAGAAATGAGGTAGTTAACTGGACTAAAGAAAGAAAGAAAGAAAGAAAGAAAGAAAGAAAGAAAGAAAGGGAAAAAGGAAAAAAGAAAGAAGGAAAGAAAAAGAAAGAAAGAACGAAAGAAAGAAAGAAAGGGAAAAAGAAAGAAGGAAAGAAAAAAGAAAGAACGAACGAAAGGGAAAATATAGAAATGCAAGGTAGTTTAACTGGACTAAAGAAAGAAAGAAAGAAAGAAAGAAAGAAAGAAAGAAAGAAAGAACGGGGAAAAGAGAGAAACACAAGATTGTTGAATTGGATTGCGGAAAGAAAGAAAAAAGAAAGAAAACGAGAAAGTGAAAAAGAAAGAAATGCAAGCATGTTTAATTGGATTACAGAAATAAAACAAAAAAGAAAGAATGAAAGAAACGAAAAAAAAAGAAAGATAAGTTTAAACTTTTGAATTTAAAAAAAAATATTTTTGGGACCATTCCGATTTGTGAGAAAATAACTGCCTTTGGTTTTCACTCGGAACGAATTAAAAGGTTTCCCTCCAAATTCCGAGAAGCAAACCTGGAACCTATCTTGGTGAAAAACAAAAAAACAAAAAAAAAAACAGAAATGAATTCGAGGAATCGACCTACAGCTGCTTCAAGAATCCAGGTTGACCCTGTCAATGAACAAATAACACAAAAGAAATTTGACCAGACGAGAATTTGAAAAGAACATCAAAGTCGCTCCAACATCAAAGAAAATTCTTCGGATGGTGTGATTGTTCTGTTCTTCGCTGTTACCACGGACTTTGTTTCCAACATTGTACCTATATCTTGAAAATTATTCAGAGAATTACTTTTTCCCCCTTTTTTTTTTTTTATTTTCGTATTTACCTTTTCTGGGGACCTTATGCAGCAGAGTGACTTTTATTATAAAAAAGGCATTTTTTGCTGGGATTTATTTGTACATACATGTTATTGGCCATCATTTGGCACACAAAGCACTTAATTTGTGTAATTCTTTCATTTTTGCTGTGTTAATAAATTTATCGTCTGCATTTTTTGAAACTTCGGCTCGTGACGTCTGTTATTGTTGTGCGCTCTTTGCCTTATAAATAAAATGTTACCTCAAACATTTGTTTGAACTATATTCTTTTTCGTAGGGTTTTTACCAAATAAAAAATGCCTTTAACTCCCAAGAAGGCAGAACATGTTCTTATCATTAAATGCTGCAGAACATTATTCTATGTGACCTTCCCTGACATCACTTGAGTTATGCATAACAATTTTGCGGCGTAAGTGGATGTTTGGCAAGTTTATTTACTCCCCAATCGTAAGTAAATAATTCGTAACGGCCTCTGTTGATTCTCGTTGGGTTACATTTGATTTGGTATATGTTGTGAACGCCTTGGGGTCTGGCACTGCTGTTGTTATAGAGCATCGCGGAATCTCTGTATTATTTTCAACCAAAACCTTGGATACAAGTGTATGAATGTTCATCTGACCCCTGTTGCTTACATCGATTTACCACTGAAACGTCAGGACCACCATCATGGAATGATTCCCCATAATGATAATTCAGATTATCGAGGAATATTTGAAATCTCAATGACTCTATGCATTGAACAGATCACAGGTTCACTCCAGATCTCAAGTAGAACTCATATATACGATATATTGTTAAAGATACTGGAAATATGGTCGGTTCATTCTATCGTTCCAGGGAATACCTGGCTTATTCTATGAGCCCGGGTCTTAATTGGCCAGAATGAGACATTAGGCCTTTTCCTTTCTTTATATAATGCTTTTAAAAGCGGTGTTATGTCTCCTTTGCTCTATCTGGTTTTGCTACTTTGTCTTTTTTACATTACATCTTTTCATTTGGTGAATAAGACATTGTTAATAGAGATCTTATTTGATCAGTAATCAACTTTTTCCCGTCCAACTCTTTACTCTGATGTGGCAGAGATCAATGGTCACCCTTGAAATATTAATAATTATAGTAATATAGAATTTTGTTTACATTATTCGGACTATTGTCCTCATCTTTGCCGCCATATTCATTACAACGTTTCGGCCGTTGTACGCTTCGGCCCTCTTCAGGTGGTTGGAATGTCGAATTGAACCCTTTATTTCGCTCACTGGGGTAGACAGTTCTGGTTCCACGGGCCATGTTAGATGGATGTCAGTTATCAGTTATCTCCTGTTAATTTCCCTCTGAAAGTTCTCCACTGCCTTAACCGGGTATTGAACTCACACTCTTTGTCACTGGATCTAACCAACGCCTTTATCCACTGTGCTATGGGTCAAGCCTTTTGTAAATCTCAGCATTGATATTACTATATACGTAGATGATAGGGCCAACTCCTGCAGATGAAATCATTCCCCACACCATCACACTGCCGCCACCAAAATTAACAGTTTTCTTGACACATTGAGAAGACAGACTTTCACCTGTTCTACGGCGTACGTAAGTTTTGCCCTCAGAAACAAATATTGTAAACTTGAACTCGTCACTGAAATGAACTGTATCTCATTGTGCGTCAGTCCAAACAACATGTTCTCTCGCATACTCCAGGCGTGCGCTTTGGTTTCGCTTTAAAATGAGAGGCTTCGAAGCTGGAATACGGGCATGCAATCCTGCATTTTTTAACCTACGAGCAACCATTTTCCTTGAGATCTTATTATCTGTCTCTTCATTAAATTTACGGGCAATTGATGTAGCAGTTTCAAAACGGTTTTTTTGTAGATATTCTAACAATTCTTCGATCTTCTCTTTGCGATGTTTTTGGAGGTTTGCCGGTTTATGGTTTTGCATCTAACGTTTTATCGGTTTTATACCTGGTAATTACACGATGAACGACACTTTTAGACCTATGAACAATATCAGAAATTTCTGAAATTGACATTTTTTCTTGATAGCGATAATGAGTTTTTTTTTCTTCAAAAGAGAGCGTTTTGCGTGTAGAATTTGCACTATTGCCAGCACTTTTAAAAATTAGCAAAAATCAGGGAGTTACTCAATCTAAATGAAAATTTCTGTACATATTCATTAATTATTTAAAAAAAATCTGAGAAAATGTTATTTTTGTTTTTTGTAATAACCACCAACATTTTCATGACTAAATTTTACTTGAAAAAATGTTTAATGTTACATTTCCGCTGAAAAAAAAAAAGTTTAACAAAGATTTCAACACAACACAAACGGGATTGTCTTAAAAATTTGTTTTAAAAACAATATTTC